TTAAATACTCGACTGTACATAATGCAAGTTTTTTTATTAGTGAGATAGTAATATATATCGAGCATATTTAAAAGAAACAAATTTTATTTATAGATTTCTCATCTAAATAAATACGTATATGCAGAGAGAGAGAGAGAGAGAGAGAGAGAGAGAGAGAGAGAGTATGTATATTACATTAATAGGTGTTATATTTTGCAGAAGGTAATGCAGAAATAACCGTTCGTTCTTCAAAAAAAAAGTGTCTTTAAAAAGAAATAAATGCAAATAAAAGAGACTTCTAATCCGTCGGGTATAAATGTCGAAGTGAGCTCAAACACTGTTCAAAATGATAAGCAAAAAAATCTATAAATCATAAAAAATTAATCAATTTGATGGCATTATTATAATAAAAATACTATTATAAAACGTGTTATATATTGAATGCATTATTAAATAATATTTACAATTTAATAACTTATATTAATAGCAAATGTTAAACAAGTTATATTAATGGATATTTATACCTTTGGTAATGTATATATTGTATTACATTAATAGATATTATATTTTGCAGAAGGTAATGCGACTGCAATAATCGCCTTTCAGTGTTCAAAAGAAAAAAGTTTCTTTCAAAATAAACAAATGCCGCAAGTAAAAGACACTTCCAATATAGCTGTAAATCACGAAATGAGCTTAAACGCGATTAATAAAGGTATAATATAAGCAAAAAGATCTATAAATCATAAAAAATTAATCAATTTGATTGCATTATTATAATAAAGACGTGTTATATATTGAATGCATTATTAATTTACAATTTATTAATTTACAATTAAATTTGCAATTTAATAACTTATATTAATAGCAAATATTAAACATATATATTAATGAATATTCATATTTTTCCAGTTTTACAATCAATACATATTAGTATTGAAGAAATGAAAGTTGACATTCAATTCATAAAAAATGAAATAAGAGACATAAAAATATCGTTTGACGCCGCACCTCAAGGAACGGAAGTAAGAGCACAGCTAGTGGCTAATATGTATATTCTAAAAAAAAAGTACGAACTAAAATTTCCTATGTCAGAGCTGGAAGAAATAAAAACATTTGATAATAAAATAAAAGACGATGCTGAGTTTGCAAAAGATTTTGTATGATTAATATTTCTATTTAATTAATGTATAAGGTGATTGGAAATAACCCCATTTGTAAAAACTTATTCGTAAAAAGACATAATCTTTACTACATTCTGATACTTTTCGTCTTATAAAACTTTATCCGAAGTTTAGTTTTTCAGTTATAAAAAGTAATAGTTCTCTTATTATGGAATGAATACAGAAGATAGGCAGAAGCAATGATTATTTATAAACGTGAATGCTTATGTGAGGCTTAACTATCAGCTGTCATGATTGACAGTGAATTGCGCTGCCACTACTTTTCTCTTATATTCATCCCTTGATAAAAAAAACTATTTTCTTTTATAATTTAAAAACTAGGTTTGAGATAAAGTTTTGCAATACGATAAAACCAGTTTTACAATCTAGTCAGTATCATGTGTTTTTAAAAATCCAGCATTGTTTCCAATCATGCTGTATATTCCTTCATTTTATATCTTTTATTTGAAATAGATGTTTTAAGAAAATGTTTTAATGTACCATGAACGTTTTTATTTGTTTTTGCTAATATGGTAGAATACTGCGCTGTATAGCATTTATATGAAAAGATTAACCCCCACAAAGAATTTAACAAATATTTTGAAAGTGTTAACAACACGAGACATAATGATGACCTATACTGCGACGAAAAAAGTAACTGGGAAGATATTATTTAAAGAAACACATAATAATTTGTACTCAACTTTATATAGTAAGAATTATTTTGAAATATAGTTTCATAATAGTATACTGCTATTGTTAATATAGTAACAATATGGTTCTTTTGATTTTTTAAACAGATTTTTTTACTGAAATGATCAACAATAAGGATAAAGACAAACTTACTGAAGCTTTTTTTGGGAAATATCTTGGAATAGTCATCAGCGGAGCGAAAGACTGGGAAGAACACCGAAAAGATAGGAAATCATCATTACCAGGAAACTGATTTCTTTCGATGTTTATATAACATGTGTATATTTTATATAGTTTATATAATGTTTATTTCACATTATA